ATGGTCTTCGAAATACATCATTCGGTTACCTAGCACTGTAATAACCTGCAGCTTGCGGCGAGTGTCTTTCTGATTAATTGTCTCCGCCTATTGCACGAAATGCCAAATTGAACATAAGCTAATGTTCACAAAAAAGCTCATCCTATTGGGAAACTTACATAATCGTGCCGATAATCCAGGTCATCACACTATACATTGCCAGTCTGGTTTTTCGATCACATCCTGGCCTGCGTTACATGTCACAATTATGCTCTTTTCCGTCAAGCTTCTTGTCCTATTCGTTCTTCTTGAACATAATGCAGACATAAACTGAGTCACCAATTAATATGTCGATTATTCGAAGATGGCTTTGAGATGGCTTGTGATTGGTCATTGGGGAAGTTTCGGAGATCTTACACTTTTCGAGCGAACAAACCACCAATTTCAAAATTGTTTCTGGTCAGTATTTTGTTTACCATAAGATAAGAATAACTCAAGCCCCGACAAAGGCATTTATCTCACACACTATAGAAAAAACGGATTTTTTGGCATAATGAAAGATTTTGCTTACCTTGACAATCCCCAGTCCTACAAAGCACTTACAAGTATCCATCTTGCTCTCTTTTACTGCTGTCCATAATCAGATGTCGGAAGCTGTAGGCTAGAATAACATTGATCATCTTGCAGAAATATGATATTTTTTGGAGTTTTGTCAGGGGGGTCAGGAGGCGCGATTTAAAGTTACTAATTCAAGGGCCCAATGTAGAGCTATAAAGTCTTTCAGAATATCAGGCAAAGTTTTTTGAACTCACCACAAGTTTTTTTTGCTGTACGATTGATTTAAATGCTCAAAATTGCCTTGATTCGCAATTTCATGAGTTTTTGATCTCAAAATTCAGGTTTTCAGTCTATCTCGAAATATTGATTTGAACAGCCCATGCAACAATTTTGTATATCTTCTTAGGATTTTGAAAGGTTTTTAGAACGCTATTAGACATTAAAAATGCACTATTTGGTGCCCATCTGGCAATAAAAATCGCGCCTCTTGACGTACACCCATTTTATCGAATATGTACCATTTGTATGCAGCGCCGCCAAGTTATCTTCTTCGTTTTGAAAAGTGCTTCAAAATCCTAACTTTCCAGCGATGGGCCGAGATGGCCACGAACCGCTGCCTACTGAAGAGGTGACCCTACCGGCTGGTAAGAATTTAAGTGGTTTTTTCCAATGCATTACAATTTTTCCAACAAAGTTAGAAGATTTACTCAAACTGTTTTTTGTTGATTTTTGTTATCCCCAAACAACTCTTCTATAGGCGAAGAAGAGCCAGATCGAGGTCAATGGACGGGAAAATTTGACTTTCTCATGAGCATGATCGCATATGCTGTGGGGCTTGGTAAGTGGACACCAAGACCGTAACATAGTTAGTGTGGTCCATAATTCTAGGGAATGTCTGGCGATTCCCGTACCTTTGTTTTAAAAATGGCGGCGGTTCATTCCTTGTAGTATATGCCATATTCTTTTGCTTGGC